TCCCATCTGTCTAATTCTTCTGCTCAACCCCGAATAATCTCAGATACCTCCTGTTTACGAGACCCATGGGACATTACTCAGCGTTTTATCAACAAGGTCAAACAATCAGAAGTTATAGGATTTTTGAAGCCCAAATTTCCTCTTCGCTTATCTGCCTTCAATGTCCGATCACTCTGTCAGATTGGTCAACAAGTTGCCTTGGCTAGAACTTTCAATTTAGATGTATGCTGTCTCCGAGACATGCATACACGACCTTACTTCAATTATCTCCCTGCGTTCTCCCGCTCCAACCTCAACCTCACGCTTCACGCTTTGTGTGCCAGGCGATTCGGCATTCGAAGCTCGCGGTATCGCTGCTGTTGGAATTGCGCCAAGTCCCAATACTTAGCGCTTGCCCCTTGACTGGATTCCAGTCAGTAGCCGACTGCGCTGCACCTCAACGTTTGAGCACGGGTCAACAGCTACAGAGTGAAGTGTTGATGCTTATTCGTCGTATTGGTGTATGCACCGACTCATTGCAGTATATCCGAATTCAAGGATGAATTCTGCAAGGATCTTTCTCAACTACTCCAGTGTTCGATCAACGGACGACATAGCAGTCACCGGAGACTTCAATGCTCAAATGGGACCCTTGGACGAGTCAGAAAAGCTTCTTGGTGGACCACATGCAATCCCAGCTAATCGGACGGACAACGAAGATCGTCTATTTCAACTTTGCGCGGACCACGGATTGTTCCGGTCAAGCACAAATTTCTCCCACAAGAAACGATACCGCCAACTTCTTTACAGCGCTGAATCCAAATCGACCACATCGCCATCAGTTACAGCTAGAGGGGGTTGACTCAAAACTGCCATTCTCACTGGTCGACACCTGCGAATACAGACCATGCTTTATTACAAGCCAGATTCTCCTCACGCCTGTCAAATAATAAATCCATCAACATCGGATACCCACGATACAATGTCAGCGATTGTTGTAAATCGGCGTTCGAAATGGAACTCTCCGATTGCCTATCAGTTCAACCTCCAGTCGAAAAACTGAATGGACACTGGAAACAAATCAAGGAAGCTATGCGAATATCGATGAAAACAACGGTGGACACTGGTGCAAGCTCGTCAACCTCGGCTGCCATGCTGGACGCCCGCAGAACCCAAGATCAAGGGCATGCCGCGGTATTTCGGCTAGTCCTGCTATACGACGCAGAAATTTGACCATTTAGAAAGCC